CAGAGCCAGAGCTGACTATAGGCATAATCAATCACTCAGATGCCTCATTTCTCACTCTTCTCCTCCAAAACCACCATGGAGGCCTCCAAGTCCGACACCAAAACCAGTGGATTGATGTGTCCCCAGTGCCTGGAGCAATCCTAGCCAACATTGGAAACTTCATGCAGGTACAAAGATCATTCACATTTGTCATTTTCCATGTATGTTTCCGATTCGATTAACGTCGAGTTATCTTCGAGTCAAAGAATGATTTTCCGTTCGCCTGATTTGTGGATGCAGCTTGTTAGCAACGACAAGTTCAAGAGCGTGGAGCACCGGGTCCTCGCCAGGCGGGCCGGGCCCCGGGTCTCTGTCGGATGCTTCCTTTTACCAGGAGAGATGCAGAAGTCGTATGGGCCAATAAAGGAGCTTCTCGATGAGAACAATCCACCCGTGTACAGAGAGATCTCTTTCACAGATTATTTCGGGTATTACCTCTCCAGTGGCAATGGCCTGAATGGTGAATCTGTACTTCCTCATTTCAAAGTTATCGAGTCCAAGTAGAGAGTACAAAAATGTGTAAAAGCTTCATCGAAGGTGTTGGTGTTCGCATGAAATATGACGGCTCAATCTTTTCATTTGATATAGTAACAGGACTACAAGTAAACAAAATATTCATAGTCCACATTGATTACATAAGACTGAAACAAGAAATAGCCAAAATATGATTGCATGCCCCCTTCAATCTGTGAACACAGTTGAATCTCTTTGACGTCACTATGATAATAACTACTACTTTAATATAAGTTCTAAATTTGTAACGAGTTTCATTGTCTCTTTAAATCTCATCCAATAGAGCTCTAAAAGTCGACGCGGCAATCGCTCCAATGGCAAATTTTAGGACTGTAAATTTGCGTCACGGCATCATATTCGATTTTCGTCTCGTGTGTTTCACTTCTTTCGAATTTCATAATGATGAAAAATTGTTTTTGGTAAAAAGAAGGCAACCAAAACTTATCAAGTTGTGTATATTTTGAGTTTGTCAAATTAAATTCGAATTTCTCTCGATAAGCCTGTGCTAGATACGACTTGAATATGATCCACTTACATCAAGTCCGCTTGTGATACGACACACTACATATCATACAAACTTTGAGGATCAGTCTTAGTATTCCACGGCACTGACCCTTGCGATAAAATGCCCAAATTGAGTGTTTAATTAATCGGAGAGCTCTCTTTTTAGGTTGCGAATGATAATCATTCTGTTTCTCTGTTTTTCAATTTTTCTATTCTTGAAAACAGGTTTGGAACATAAATCCGTTTGGTAACGCAATTTCATTTTTCTATTTCTGGAACAAATTTTGATTTCAAAAATAGGTTTGGAACAGAAATGAGAAATAAAAATTTTCTAATCTAGAACAAAAATGAGAAATAAAATTTTTTCTCATTGCTCGCCTTTGCTACTAGCCAGTCGTCCACCCACCGCCCACCCGCTGTCCGTTGCCTCCCGCCGTCCGCCGACCGTTGTCCCCTGCCGCCGCCTACCGCCAACCGTCGCTCGCCTCCCGCTTCTGCCCTACGACAGTTGCCTCCTACTGCCGTCCCCCACACTGGCCCGCCACTGCCTGCTCGCTGTTCACTCGCCAGTTGCCCGGGAGTGAGAAATTTTGTGCTGTTATCAAATAAATTTTTGTTTCAGGAACAGAAATTTGTTTCATTATCAAATGCATATTTTTACTTAGAAGCTCATTCATGGAATAGAAATAGAAAAATATGGCCAAAAATTGATTTCTGAAACAGAATGGTTGTCATTCACGCCCTGAGTGTCTAGGAATTTGACGACTAACACTATCTCATATTTGTCACACCCCAGCTTTATAGGTATAGGAAAAATGACACAGTCCTCCTTATGAGGATGCAGCCTCATACATAAGCAACATTAAATTATTATAAAAAAAAATATATCTACATGTATGATAAAACAGCAAGTTGATTACAGGAACATTGTTCTAAAATCCCCCATTGACCAACAAACAAATTCCAACAAATGCTATTTCAATGTAAGTGCAACTATATATAATCCAACTCCTAAATTCCCCACTGATACCACTCTTGTTCTATTTGCCAACAGCTGTAGAACTTGAAAAAATAATTAAGATGAATGTTACATGCAAACCACTATTCAGTAAGAAGCAAAAATCTCTTGTAAGCAAATCGAGTATCTACCATGCACATTTATAAACGGTACAATAAACATATTTATTGAAATCTAGTATAATATATACATATATAGGGATTTCAAAAGGAACCATGGGAGCCAAAACCCACCAAACCAAACCCCAAATAAATAATTTCAAGTCTTTTCTAGTTGAGTTTCCTTTCTATTCGGCTAATAAATAAAACAATGGGCTTCCGATGTTTCCATTCGGTTTAGTTTCAGGTCATAAACCTGAACCAGCCCGAAACACATTATTGAACATGTTTCGAAACCAAAATAATCACGGTAATCACTAAACACATTCATGAACATAGAAAAGGAAGCCCAATGTCTTCCGCTGGCTCGTCCAATTGTCAGCCAATCTCCGTCGTTGCGGGCATCTCCGTCATCGCTTTTGATTCTGTCATAAATGTTCTTAATTGACAACCTGTTCCCGGTGTCATCGTTGTTGTTCCTGTTCAAGGCTTGGTTTATGAGTACCCCTTAACAACCTTAGCAATAGTTGAGGGAGTGTAAAGGTGTTCCACAGATCGAACATGCATTTTTTTCGATAAGAAAAGAACGTCTTCTATGCTATAAACTTTGATAATGAAAACTCATCCAATGCTTTCATTTACTCGTTCGCGGAGAGACAGATTTCTGAGTATCAGGACCACATGGCAAAACTGAAGACATCTTTATCCGAAATATTATCCCAGGTATTGGGGCTTGGTTCTGATTATCTCAGTTGTACTGGGTGTATGGAAGCGGAGATAATAATAGGCCAATACTACTCAGCTTGTCCGGAATCAGAATCGACTCTCGAAGCAATCAGTAACTTCAATGTGTTGTTTCTGACTCTCCTCCTTCAAGATCACCATGGCGGCCTCCAAGTCCTCCATGAAAACCACTTGGTCGATGTGGTTCCTTTGCATGGAGCGCTTCTAGCCAACATCGGAGACTTCATGCAGGTAAAGAAAGTTCCAACTCTTTTCTGACCTTATGTTTTCTGGCCTACATAGCAAATACGAAATTGACCTCAAGATATGTCTCTCCGGAGTCGATTTTGATCGCCCTTCATTACATTAACTATGCAAGAGTCTAGATAATATTTTCCGAGTGGCCTATGGAATGTAGTATGAACTTCCCACGATACCATGAACAACCTTGTTACACACTAAGTAAAGGACGACATGAAAGCGCAACGCATTCTGTGCCTGGCTCTTGGCATTCATCTTTGCCACATCTTTTGTAGTCATAACTCCTTTTCTGGCCTAATATGATGGTTGTAGCTTGAACCAACGACAAGTTCAAAAGTGTGGAGCACCAAGTACTTGCCGGGCTGGTCGGACCCAGGGTGTCGGTCGCATGCTTTCTCACCCCGAGCGGGATGCAAAAAACCGGACCCTTTGGGCCAATGAAGGAGCTTCTCTCTAAAAACAATCCACCCATATACAAGGAAACCTCTCTTTTGGAATATGGCACCTATTACAAATCCCACAGCCTGAGTGGCAATTTAGCACTTCCTAATTCTAGGATAAATGACTCCAAATAGAGCAGAGTTATGGAAAATCCTCAATGAGTGTGTCTGGACTGGTTATATAAGATATCTGAGTTTGTGGCAGGACTTTGTAATCACCTGTTTCGATTTGTGCAATAAAATCTTGCTCGTCTAAAACAAATCAATATCGAAGTCCATTCTTCCGATGCATTGTGGAATGTGACTATCTTCTTCAAATGATTGGCATTAGGTTTTGGCGCTTATGAGTTTACCTCAAAGTGTAATTGCAACTACAAGAACCTCGAGTTTTAGATACGAAGGAAGATTTGTCATTATTTTTTTGGTAAGGAAGATTTGTCATTATTCATATTCAATATTGGAAAGAAGTGCACATTTAGGCATTAAACTTGCGCAAGTGATTTGCAAATTGTCTATTAACAACAAGTAGATCTATAACAAGGGAATTAGTAATGTGTCATGAAAAATTAGTACAAGAAGCCGTGAAAACACTTCTTGATAATGGAATTCGCAGACAACCAATGAGGGATGGTCATAACAAGGTTCACAAGCCGATTTCGGACGTAATTGAAGGCAAAGAGGGAAGATTTTGTGAGACTCTGCTTGGCAAACGGGTCGATTATTCGGGTCATTCTATCATTGTCGTAGGACCCTCACTTCCATTACATCGATGTGGATTGCCTCGAGAAATAGCAGTAGAGCTTTTTCGGACATTTGTAATTCATGGGCTAATTAGACAACATCTTGCTTCGAACATAGAAGTTGCTAAGAGTAAAATTCGGGAAATGGAGGCCATTGTATGGGAAATATTGCAAGAAGTTATGAAGGAGCATCCCGTACTGCTGAATAGAGCATCTACTCTGCATAGATTAGGCATACACGCATTTCAATCCATTCTACAATCAAGTCCTTGTACTCATGAAACTTTTTCCCAAGTAATTCTCTTTGTTACCAACTACAGCAAATTGAAACTAGCGTATCAATCTATTCCTGCCAAAAGTTTGTTGTTGAAATAAGTGATGGAAACACAGAACAAAAAGCTATCGAACATTAGCTTAATTGTTCTGCAACTTGATCAGCACAAATTGATCGTCAACAATTTACATCATATTCTTTACTAGCATCGACAGGCACGTCGGCGTCAATTTGTCCGAGTAAGAGAATAATTGGCTCAATTAGACAAATTCTACAAGTTCAAAAACATGATTGCACAGCAAATTTGATAATGACTCAGAAAAAGAATGCAATCATGAACCAAATGTGCGCTTTCTCCTTGAATTCACCATTCGCTGATCAGTGTTTGCAGCCGTAGCTATCCCAAGTCTCCGCTCGCAATCGTCCACTTGCGTGGGCTATGGGACGAAAGCTTCTGTTGGGTTCCAGAAACCGCACCATTCATGCACGTCACGGGTGCAGCTATCCCAGGTTTGAGTTGGCCTAGGTCCAAGCAACTTTGTGCATAAATGAATCTCCCTTCGCATGTACATCTCAAATGAAGAAAAAAAATGAGTTGGCATGTATCTGTACACGCGGCAACCTGTGAATGGCTTGTTGTGTCCGGGGAGTCTTAGCCATTCACTTGGTCACAGCCTCACATTGATCAGGGCTCAAATTCATCCAATCTGGATTAGGGCTTCAAACTTTGTCACTACAAGATCATGCAAACTTTGCCGAGTCATGGACAATTCATCACTCGCCCCGGGTTATGATAGAGAGAAAGAATTGCAGGAATTCGACGAGACCAAGGCCGGAGTCAAAGGCCTTGTGGACTCTGGCGCGACCAAGATCCCCAGAATCTTCATCTTCCCACCCGAGAACTTGCACGGTTTGTCAACTGATGCAAACAGGACGGGCATCCAGTTGCCAATCGTCAATCTCGATGGCTATCGGGATTCTCGGCGGGGAGATATCGTCGATGGTATTCGCGAAGCATCAGAGACATGGGGTTTCTTTCAGATAATCAATCACGGGATTCCGCTCGACGTGATGGACAACATGTTGGAGGTTGTGAAGAAATTCCATGAGCAACAAGTGGAAGTGAAGAGAGAGCTGTACTCTAGAGATAGTACGAAGAGAGTGAGGTACTTTTGCAATGGAGATCTGTTCTTCTCAAAAGCAGCGAGTCGGAGGGACACTGTCATATTTGATTTCCAGGATGGTGACCTAGACCCAGAGGCTGTTCCTCCTATTTGCAGGTATGTGTATGACTTGTGAATTGGAGTTCTTTTTCTTTTTTATGCTTGAAAGCTCATAATTGGAGCTGCTATTAATAATTTGAGAACAGGTTTGGCCCTTTTCTCCTACTGAGGACAGGTTGGGATTGATTTAACGTACTCTGTAAAAAGCCGGAAACAATGTTGGATCATTCTGTGTGATGCATTTCGATACAGTTCAAAGCTTGGTTTTTTGAGTACCGTTTAACAACCTTAGTAACAGTTGAGGGAGTGCAAAGGTGCTCCACAAGTCGAACATGCATTCTTGTCGATAAGAAAAGAACCTATCCTATGCATTTTCATTGACTCGTTTGCAGAGAGGCAGTTTTCGAGTATGAGAAACATATGGCGAAACTGAAGACATCTTTATCCGAACTATTATCAGAGGCACTGGGGCTCGGTTCTGATTATCTCAGTGGCACTGAGTGTGTGAAATCGGAGACACTCGCATGCCATTACTACCCACCTTGTCCTGAACCAGAATTGACTCTCGGCACGGTTAATCACTCGGACCCTACGTTCCTGACTCTTCTCCTTCAAGACCACCGTGGTGGCCTCCAAGTCCTCCATGAAAACCACTGGGTTGATGTGGTTCCTGTGCGTGGAGCACTTGTAGCCAACATTGGAGACTTCATGCAGGTAAAGAAAGTTTTTTAACTTTTTTCTGACATTATGTTTTCTGGGCTACATGGAAAATATGCGATTGACCTCGAGATGTCTCTCCGTAGTCGATTTCAATCGCAATTCATCACATGATTCACATCAACTAGTTAATGAACGACCAATGTAATGAAGTACGAACTTGCCACAATAGCCTGAACGCTTGAGAAGAATCATAAGTGAAATAACAGAGCAATGTTGCGAGGAACGGCTTCATTTCAACTCTTGATCTTGAACAGCCGTGTCACGCAAATTAGAGGACGACCGGGAAACACACTGCATTCTATGCCTGGCTCTTGCCATTCATCTTTACCGCAACGTTTGAAGTCAATTAACTCATTTTTCTGGCCTGATATGATGGATGCAGATTGTTACCAACAACAAGTTCAAAAGTGTGGAGCACCGAGTACTTACCGGGCGGGTCGGACCCAGGGTTTCAGTCGCGTGCTTTGTCTACCCGAGCAGGATGCAAAAGGCAAAACCATTCGGGCCAATAAAGGAGCTTCTCTCTGAACACAATCCACCCTTATACAAAGAAACCTCTCATTTGGAATACGTCGACTTTTACAAATCCCATGGCCTGAGTGGCAATTCAACACTTCCTCATTTCAGGATAAGCGACTCCAACGATAGCACGGCTGTGGAAAATCCTGAATGAGCGGGCCTTGACTGGTTATATCTTTCATTTGAATGCGTGGCAGGACTTTGTAGTTATCTGTTTCGATTTTATGCAATAAAATATTACCCATATGAATGAGCGGGTCTTGACTGGTTATATCTTTCATTTGAATGCGTGGCAGGACTTTGTAGTTATCTGTTTCGATTTTGTGCAATAAAATATTACCCATATAAAACAAGTCAGTGTCGAAGTGGATTCTTCTGATGCATAGTTGGGTGTGACTATTCTTCTTCAAATGATTAATATTAGGTTTCGGCGGTTATGAGTTTCTCCCGAACTGTAGTTACATCTTTAAGCACCTCCGAGTTGTAGATGCAAAGGAAGATTCATCATTGGTAATACTAATTATCGGAGAAAAGTGCACATCTAGTCAGTAAATTTGCACGGGCGATGCTCAAACTGGAATTTCTACAATCAAGTCCTTGTACTCATAAATTTTTACCTATCAAGTTTCTCTGTCACCAACTCCAGCAAACTGAAACTAGCGTGTCAAATAATTCCAGCCAAAAGTCTGATGTTGAAATAAGTGATGGAACCATGGAATGAATAGCTATTGAACATTTGCTTAATTTTTCCGCAACTTGATAAGCACAAATTGATCCCAACAATGATCGACTCGATTGGACAAATTCTACAAATTCAAGAACTCGATTGCACAGCAAATTTGATGACATAGGAAAAAGAGTGCAGATTCAAGAACCAAATGTGTGATTTTACCTTGAATACTTTCACTAGCACTTTTCATTGGAAAGTAGTTTCCAACCAAAGAAATTTACATCTGTTCATCTGAGGTATTTCCCATGATTTTCTGTTACAAAATGCGAAATCATCATTTTCCTTCACCCAAAATCCATCTCCAGGGGTGACAACAGAATAGAACGTTGATATTATATTATCGTGCTCAGGAGACAAACCACATGCAAATAATCCTTGGACACCAAATAATTCACCATTACATGCACATAATCTACATGCCCAATGTACCATGAACTGAAATGAGAGTTGACTACTTATTTCCGGCATAACTTCAAAATGCATGTATATAAGTTCCTACTATTTGGTACATGTAGCAGAAGGAACCAAGGACCAAATGCACATATCTTGCTGAATCCAACCTAAAAGCAATTGCATATAGCAGCAAAACAGAAGATTGAAGCAAGAAAACTCGGAAGTTAGAGCTTTAGAAACATCATCACTCACATCACGATAGGGCTTTCAATGCACAGCAGCTCCTACATTGCAAGGTTTTAAGGATGATGTGACTCGTGCAAACTCAAACCCCATTTACGATACCTAAGAGGGTCAACACTCATCTTCACGCATGAACACACCAAGAAAACAAGGTTTCCTCCCAAATCCCAAGGAGGATAAAACACAAAGATCAAACTAGAATTGGACCAATCTGTGTCATGGATGACTACATGCATACATTATAGAGTTTCTGAAACACTTTGTTATGTTTCTGGATTGAGGCCAAGGGCTGCACGTTGCATTTCATGTTGAAGTCTTGGGTTGCAATATTTGCACAAGTGACCACAAGACATCCATTCTGTGGATGCTATTGTTATTTTGCCCCTGCAACCATCCAAGCAATAATTGAGTAAGGTAACCACAGGGAACAAAACACAACCAATAACGATAATGTATTTCATTCTTGAGCAAACGTATCATTTAGATATCCACAACTTACCTCAACCACAAAGCATATCCATATCTTCTCACCATGTGCTTCTGTGACACCTTTTAAGATCGTCAGACCCAAGCTTCTAATTGCTTCTGCTATCTCAAGAAAATGACTGCAATCTTCACACATCATCTGCACACATCAACCATATTCGAATCATACTGATCAGTTAATTCAAAAAATAATGTTTGCTGACCAAAAGGAAATATAAAGGTTAGAAATCGAAGCTACCTCCCACCACTATCCACTTCATTTAGGAGATGAATGGGAAAAGCAGTTATTATCAACCTTTTTTTCAAGAAATAATCATTGACTTTCCTCCCCTAATCACGCAATGGTATCAAACAAGATCTCTCCATGATAACATGTCCCTACCTCCACAAGCAGCTGGCCCTTCTTACTAAGATTCTCGACCATGATTGAGTAGACCTTGAGATGGCTGCCCACCTCCACTGCCCAGCTTGATCCTTGTTCATTACTGGAGGATCCCAGTACGTCTGGTTCATTGTGATGGAGCTGCAAAATTCAGAATATGGAACATAGTTGAGATAAAATCTCATTTGACATAGGTAGCAGACGTGCTATGTGCCATGGACATCTATTTGAACTCCTAAGGATCTGGAAAGAAATATTACACTAGGGTAAAGTATGATAGAAAGACCTGGTCCAGATACCTATGAGATGAATATGTGAAATATAAAATGAGCTGACAGAAAAAAGCATGTCAAGAAGATGCTGATAACCTGCAGGCTGTTTCTTTCATCTAAGTTTTAAGGAGAACAATCTCACCTTCGATTCGGCGCACTTGTTCAGCTTGTCAGCATGTTTAGTGATGCTCTGTAGAAAAAGCATATGCTTGATTGTGCGCTCCAACAGTGCATCAATACTACACTGCAAATGTTTGAAAACTTTTAGTGCAGAAAAAACACGTATTCTGATAGGTAGCAAAACCATCAAAAGCAAGAACACAGCAACTATATTAGAACTTACCTTTGACCCACTAGGCACCAGTTCTCTTAGTTCCTTTAGACGATCTTGGATCAGTTGTCTGTCCCTTGGCCTGGGCCTACGATTTTCACCGGGCCTAGCCCTCTTTTTGCTGTTCTTCGCAAGCTCCGATGACCTCTCTAACAGATCGCTATGTGAAGTTTGACAAGAAGACGAAATGCTTGCTGAAGACATAGCAAGACTTCTGTCTGATGAATGTAGGCCGTGTCCTTCCATATGATAGGGCTGATCAATTGAATAACCCACTGAACGAGCAGTGAACTTAGAAAGGTTAGAGCTGGAAGCTTCTGGCACTCTTCCTGAAACCATTGGAGACCTTATTGAGCTGGAAAATGATCCTTCATTTTTATTGTCATGACCACTCTGACAAACTTTAGCCACTACAGCTTCCAGAAGATGCTCTGAGTCCGATTCATTCGTCGAACGGCTACTGCTGATCCCTTCTAAAATCTGCACTGCTCTTTCAGCTTCTGTTTTGTCTTCTTCCCAAACTGAGGGAGCACTCATCCTCGAAAAAGCTGGTCCAAGTGCTTCATGCAGTTCTGAAATACTTGGGAATCCAAATGATCCTCTGGATTTCTCTAGGTTATCATCAATCTCCAAACATTTCCCTAAATCTTTTTGTGCCATTTCCGGTAATTGAAGGAGCTCATTTGAAACATCATCTGAATTACGAGCTCTGACTCTATCATGACCAGAAGAAGATCCTAACTGGTCTAAAGGGAGATATGTGCAATCAAGACCCATCTCTTCAGTTGGAAAGGCATTTTCAAATAAATAACAGTCGGATGATATATTTTCCGTGAATGGACTGATAGTGGGCGCCAGAATGGCATTTAGACCATCCAAATTAGGTTCTTCTTTAAAAGGTTTCTTATTGCATATATTTTCTTGAATATGATTCTCCAAAGTACTTGGGCTCTGTTCATGATTGTGGAGAACCTTAACTTCTGTTCCCCGATGACTTCCGGACAGTGGCAGAACACCGGATCTCTCGATGTACTTTCCAATATATGGAGAAGGTGAACATATATTTGTTTCTTCTTTAGATTCATTTAGGTTGCCGGAGCAGTCAGAAGTGGCTTCCGATACCAAACCATCCATAAATGAACTTGCCTGAGAATAAGAAAGCAGAAACATGTGAGAGTATAGCCAGAAATGGAAATAATGATAGTGGACTTCACGCTCTGCTCTGTGCGTGAGCACATGCGTGCATTTGCGAGCACGCATTTATGTGTTCCTGTGTGAGTGTGAACACACACACGGCTGGGTGTCTGCGCGCGTGCGAGAGAGAGAGAGAGAGAGACCTGCTGTAGTAAATTATCAGAACATGGCAAGGGAACAGATTTACGCCGTAACAAGGAATCTTGGAAAGACAAAAATGCATCTTGGATATTGGTCACCAGCTTCACATCCTCGTTCACCTGCTCTCTCATATAAAAGCCACATGAAAGAAAGATAAAATCAAGACAAAATCGTGCGAAATTTTGACACATATCTGACTTCTCCATGGAAAATTAATCCAAGTTAATGGCAAAGAAATTTTTCACTAGTAAAAAAGACAAAGGATTCATAGATAAGGAAAATGGCCTGCCACAAAAGGCTGGTAAAAACAACAAATGTGGAGGTGATCAGCTATATGAACCCGGAGAAATTCCGAGACTTGTGGCAAAAGGTTAAAGCATTTTCTTTTTCAGGAGTGATAAGAAAGAAAATACAATTCAAACATGACCACCTCACAGCAGATTCATATATTCGACAACTGGTAGGATATTCAGCAACAAGAGAAACCATAAACACATTTCTCAGGACACAAGCTTTAAAAGCATATATACCCGTGCAGTGTTAGGAGAATTATAAACAACTTGGACATAATAAATATATGGAGCTTCGTGTTAATTGAATATAGTGCCATCCTACTCCAGAAAAGAAAAGGGATATCGACGAATTAATCCGCAGATTTCAAAATTTTGGAAGTTATCTTACTTTATTTAAAGAGCCAAGCTGCAGCACTCCATGCGGAAGAACAGCGATGACAAGAACAGCCTGCAGAGTTCAACGGATAGACTGACATAAGAATTTTATAGCAGAAAAGGTGTAAAGAAATAGCAACATATGACAAACAATAACGTCCTACAATGTCATTCATATCATTTGTTTATCCAATCCCAACAGATGACATCACTCTTCCAGACAGACTCTACAAACTAATGAGTTTTTAACAGCGAATATTAAAAAGTAGAAATCATATTTGTGTATGTGTTAGAGACTATGTGCATGAAATAAACAAAAGTGCATGCATGGGAAAATATTGGACTACCGTCATAAAACAATCTTATCTTTTAAAGGATGACTTATTAATTTATTATCCATAGTGACATTACACAAATAACAGATGTAATTAGAAAAATCAGCACCTGCACTACATGGCTGCTTCAACAACCACCGCGTTTGATTATACATGTTATGCGCAGTAGATAACCCATCACTTTTTTTCATTACTCTAAAACAAGAATACAATCACAAATTGAATATACCCATTTGTAGTGAATATTAATATAAAATGTGCAAAAAGAGGCATAAGTTACTTTCAAAAGATTGTCGAGTTAACAAAAGTTGAAAACTTTCACATTGTCCCAATAAAGGAGTCAATATAGGAATACAACACTACAATTAGATATGTTCCACGTCATTAAAGTAGAAGCGAAAAACAATCTTCAACTCAGAATATGGCAAAAACCGATAGAAACAAGCATACCGCAATTCCAGCTGAAAATTGTGTCTGCCAGATATCACAGTCCTGAAAATCACCCAAAACACATTCAATGAAAGGATAAATGGAAGATTTTGTAATTTGTGGATATCAATCCAACGTCAATATTAACCCAATTTATCGAAAAACAGAAATATGAGGAGTATATTGCACAAGGATTAAGGTGGACCTCCGATGATAAGCAGTTATTGGCTAGATAAAGACTGGGACATAACCACTGATGCTTCCCACTAGCTGCCACCTGCCCCACAATCCTGTTGGTATTTGGTTCAGAGAAAGAAACGGAATATCCTTAGTTTGTAACCCTCACAGTTACTGACTCAAAATAGAAGAATAAAGCATTTTGCATATTCTCTGTCTCGCAGATTTTTCAGAATGTTAAACTGTACCCTTCCCCAAGAGAATACACGTAGTAGGACATCTTTGCCAAAGCTAACTCAAGGGGATCGCATGAATATCCAAGACTGTTTGAGTGGTCCACTGTCTCCTCGGAGCACTTAAACTTGGAAAGACCAGTTTGTCCATGGCTGTTATAGTACGCATCCTCCCAAGTCAAAACCCTGGAAACATTCCAAGAACCAATGACCATAAGAACCTAGAGATGGTAAAAGTAAATAAATGAAAGTACACATTGAATTGCATAAGCTATAATTGAGGGAAGAGTTTTTATTAATGCTTGACATGCATCTGCCCCTACTTTCCTTTGTGAAACTTTTTCAATAAATAGTCACACGCCGATTCAAGTTAAAGCTTTTTCAACGAATAGCTGTCTTTATATAGATATGTTTCTTCTTACAGATATATTTACATACAGAAACCATTAGAATATATATGCCCATGCACGCTACCATGCAACCGTCCAGTTCTAACAATCAGAAGAATTGCGAGTTTGTAATAAGGTGCTGTTTCTAGTTGAAAGATGGTGCATGGAAAGGTTCTGCTGGCATAAGCTCCAGCAATCAGTAGGTGCACAGAGTTTCTCCCTATCACTCCGCCAGATTACTTTGCCCTCCTCTTTAACTAAAATGTCAGTGCAGCTACTTCGTCTGACTCAATATTGCATATTTATTCCTTCTTGAGTATCCGCACTTTCTGAAGATTTTGAGCGCGCAATACCAATAAATGACAACACCTCATCGAAAGGCGGGCAAACAAGTCAGCAGGTAACATCACATCAATACGTCAAACGATATTGCATTACATCAAATACTTCCCCAGTGTAGCTGACAAATACAGCGATTATGGGCATGGCTGACCCAAACTAACTACTGACCATCCTCTTAGTAGATCAATTATCTAATTGTTATCTAGCAGCTTCTATCTCGACAAAGAAAAGTACAATTTTCAACTCAACATAAGAACCATCACAGGCACATGCACAAACCAACATTATAGCAATTTGGCCCTAAACACCGGACGAAAGTAGGAGAGAAAGATTCAATCGACTCACATGCGCGCCCGATGCTTGAGCTTCCAGAAGACGGCATACGTCCACTCCGAACCAGAACAGAGGCTCTTCAGCAGTGGGTGCACGTACGCCCCCATTTCGGTCGCCAAGACAATCCTATCAAGCACAACAAGAGAGGGCCGCCGCCGCCTAATGCCCCTTCCAACTTTCTAGGCTCCCCACTTAAAAAAATCTCAAAGAAATCCCAAAAATCAAGCACCCCAATTGTCACCGCGAATCCTAACCCTAACTCCCCCGATACGATCCCCTACCGGCCTGTTTTCTCCTTAACCCGGCTGTCCCTAGCTTTATTGGAGGTCCTACAGTCGGAAGCAGAAGGCTATCCCTGCCCATTCCTCTTTCTACTTACACGGGTATAACAAGGAAAAGGGGGAAAGGGAAAGGGAAAGGAAAGAAAAACCCCCAACCGACCCCTGCTCTACCGGATTCAGCAAGAAAACGGAACGGGGGAAGGGCAGATGAACTCACAACCGCGACGACAAGAGAATCAGGCTCGCGAGACGACGCCCCGATCGGACACGCTTGCTGAGTGGAGCGGCTGGAGCCATGTACTCAACTCTCTCGGGCAGCAAGAATTCCCCCAAGGGACCCCCAAACAAAACACAAAAAACAACCCGAGACCCCTCGAAACCCCAAAAAAAAAACACCAAGAAAGCCTAGCCGCGGAACTGATTTGTGGTATCTAGCTAATGTCGGAAGACATGGAGGAGGCGGGTTCGTCCACGACGGAGCTCGAGCAAACCGGGAATTCCCAGCTTCTTGGCCCGCGAGGAATTCACCGAAGGCCGAACGAGGAAACCCGGAACACCGCGCGCAGATTGGCGAGCAGAGAGGGGTAAGAAGAAGAAGAAGAAGCTACAAAATCCACAGCAGCAGCAGAGAGGCGCACGACTGGGGGCCCTTTTCGGTCGCTACAGGAGAGTGATCGACGGCTTCGACGCCAGTCTCGTCGATCCACACACACGAACAGCTTTTTCCCTCCGATTTCCCCTAGAGAGAGAGAGAGAGAGAGGGCGGGCCGTAGAGTCAGGGGGAGAACCGTCGAGTCGCTTTTCTCAGAGGTAGAGAAAGAGAGAGAAGAGGAGATGGTTTTGATGGTTTTTTGGGTTTCCGGCAAAGGGAAAAGGGACGCCGGGTTCGGGGTTTTATATGCCATTCCCATCACACTCCCCCTCCCTCTCTCCTCGCTTTTTTTTTTTCTTCTCTCTCTCTCTATTTTATTTCGTTATTTATTTTATTGATTCTTTTTCTTTCTCTTTTTCTTTTTTCTCTCGCACCTTTTCGGATTTTTCTTCTCCCTGTTTTTTTCTTTTTCCCAACATTTCCTCGCCCCTTTCTTGTCCGCATCCGACGCCATCGTATCGTCGGGTTAACTTCAGTTCCGTGTCGCCGCAAGGCAGTTACCGAGGGCGACGGACGTAAATTCGCGCGGCCCCCCGGAAGAAATTCTCGAACAAAAAGCCTGGAAGCGAAATCGCGTTGGAGCGTGGCCAACTCGGTCTCGATTAAGGATCCGAGCGGGCATACGCCTCGAGGTCGCGGACTCGAGGGTATTTTCATCTAAGAACTTCTCTTTTGAACTTTGGTCCAACCTCTTTTTCTTTTTTTATTGGGCGAAACTCGGGTCCAACCTTGAATTTATAATCTTTTCGATGTGGTCATCGAACTATTTTGCGGAAAATAGATTTTTCACACATTTATCACCAATCAAAGGAAATATTTTGCGGAGTAAAACTTCAATATATATTTGAGGACAGTGGCAGCGCCCCATGTGCTTGAGTTTCCGGGGGGGACCGCATTTTACGCAGATTATTATGCCAATCTATAGCTAAATTTTACATATAAACATTTGAACACAACGAAAACTCCACGATTAACGTACTTATGTTACAAGATTCTGATTTTAGCATAACATCAATCATTTCAACCATCCCATACGGTAAAGCAATCTAACGCGACATTTTGACTTATTGTGTTTCGTTTGTTACGTACTTACTAGGACAGGTAATTTATATATATTTTATTTTAGTAAAGGTAATTGCATTGTTAATGGTGAGGTTGGAAATTTCTCTAATACGAAGGAGTTATCATTAGAATGAAGGAAAAATGAGGAGAAAGGGAGAGGAAGAAGGGCAGGTAATAAATAGGTAGCAAGATGAATGGACAGGGTTAAAACAAAAATATTTCTTATAAGAAAAATGCTCAACTTTTTTGCAAATTAGAGTGATATATGTCAAACTTTGATTGCATAAATGTTCTATCATGCTCTCCGCCGGTTCTTGAATAAAGACAATGAAGTTCAAAAGTAATCCACTCTTAGGCATGATTGGAAGGTTAGTGCGTGTTTGACTCGATTTTCTATTTTTTGGTTTGTGATTGTTGTTTTCAACGTTAAAAATGTGTGTAATTGTTTTGCATAAAACCTTTAGAATACTTTAGGATTAGTTTTGAAAGCCATCTCAATTTCTTAAATTACTTATAAATCAAGGCTCCATTTGTTTCACGGAAAATGAGTGATTTAGAAAATATTTCCCTAAAAATGATCGTATGTATCATTTGAAATTATTAATGGATAAAAAATATTTTCATTATCGACAATAATTTGTGTTTAAACATTTTCGTAGACGACGAACATATTTTCCCATTCATTCTTTTTTGTAAGCGATTATTTTTTATTTTATTTTTTCAAATTACTTATTTTTTACAAAACAATTGGAGCCTAAGATATTATATTTTTTTCCGTGAAAAATTCAAATGCGGCTTTTATGGCCTATTGATATGCAGACTTAACTTTTTGGTTTGACTTTATATTAAATGTGAATTTGGTTTTCTACTTTCTAGGTTCAACTGGGATTATTGCTCATTGTAACGACTATTTATATTCATTACTCTATATAAATACATGATATTGATGTAAATGGGTTTTTCTATAGTTATTTCAACATTTAAAATTTTTCTTAGACAGTAAATACCATCTTGATATGTTAAAGATGGATGATCCGAGTGACTTATACTTTTAACAGTTTCTTTTATTTTCTTCCAAAATGAGATGGCTCGACGAACAAAAATGTTACCTAAAATTTGGTAGATGGTTAAGCTTTTGATTTGAATATACAAAATCCCATATTCAAATGGGAAGTTTACATGCATATATACACTTGAGGATTAATCGAGTCGAAAAGTTTAAATATCTTGTATTATTGTGGAAAAAAAAAAGGAAATGACAAGCACAATGATTATCTTAGTATTTCGATCTTGGAGTATGCTTTTTGTAAGTGAGGTATTCAACTCGCTGCTTTTTGACCAAAAAACAGTCATTTCTAATCTCATCTCCTAGCTTCACATCAATGCTTATTCTTTATAATTGGCAATCTTATCTTTTCACTAAAGCTTCATGTAGATAGTAAATTTTGAAAAATATCTCCCTAATTTTATGAACCGGATAGAATATAAACCAAAATTCGACTTGATGGCTCAAATATTAAATCGCTTGTATTTGATTTTGTGGAGTATCGAATCTATGTCATATGATTAATCCCCGTAAACACACTTGGTAATCCACAGTCCAATCTTGGGAAGAGCGGTCAAATAACATGAATATCGAAATATCATAACCCGTTAATACTGCTAGTCTAAATGTGTTTTACCTATGGAGGGATCGGGGCGAAATGGAAGTACGAGATGAAAGAGTAATGTTAGAGCGTAATTAGACATTAACACAAGTAGATCACGTTCAATCACCCGGTAAGAGTTTGCAACGTCGGTTTGGTAAATAGATTGTGTAAATCAATATGGGTATCTCTAACGATACGCAAGATAAAACCGGCTTCCCGTCCCACTTTGGTTCTAATTTTACTTAAATGACGGGGTAATCCTAATGATCATAGGGGGAAAAAGGAGAAGGTTAATCTTAGATTGAATGACACTGAAGTGAAAATGGGTATTTTCTATATCAAAAGCTAGTAATTGCATCTAAAACTTAAACTCATAATTCACTGGTAGGTGAAAACATCGTTTGAGTACCTTCTAGATATCCTTACCATCATCAATTCACAGAAGATTTCGTCCCCAGATAACCATTTTATAATTCATTAGGAGAACTGAAAAAGGAATAGAAAAGGAAAAGCACCAAACCCTAATTCTGTTACTCAGTGAAAAAATCCCTAAAATTACCCGATTATTTTTATTGTTCTTTTCCCCCATTTTTTTTTATGGTAAAAGGGGTCATCGATCTAATAAGTATGCTTTTCTACCAGTGTCATCTGATGGCCAACAACATCATGCCGAGGAATGGAAAATGCTCCTTATCTTCACATCATGTCTCTCTCTCTCTCTCTTAATTTCCCAAATCCTTGAACTTGCCCTCTCGATGCTCTTTTCAACAATGATTTCCACTGCCAAAAAGTTTAGTGTGACACCTAAAATCCCTCCATTTCCCCTTGTCCCCATTCACACTCCTGCATACATGCCAATCTTCTTTTTTATGGCCTCCAAGTGTTCAAAATCGATGTGCAGTCTCCATTCCTTTTCTATGCTCAGTTGAGTGGCATTTGAAGACCATGATTTGGACTTGAATGACTCACCCATCTTTGGGTCCATTCCATTCCCTTTAATATCTCTCATAATAGTGCAAGTTCTTGTGTTCCCATGGCACATTCATTAGAGAAATGCTTTCTCTTTTTGTTTTTTCCCCCTCTTCGCGACGGCTCAACATATCTATGGAAACCCCATGATGTGTGTTCCAACAGGGCCATATCTTATGATCATGCATACTAGCAATCGATTTTCATGCCACCCTTTTGATAAACATTCTTTTTGTGCAACAATAATAGTGCACAACGGCACATAAAATTGAGGAGCTAGCTAGCTCTCAGCTGTATTTGCTGGTCATAAAGAGCAAAACTACAAAATTAATCAAACTTTTACGGTGAAATCATTATAAATCACACGATTATTTATCAAAAGGAGCGGAAGAAAAGGAAAAAGGGGACTGCTCAAAAGCAAGGCTGCTTTTGTAGATAAATTTGTATGGACTGAAGTCATTTAAGAGAGTACATTCAGCTCCTTGAAGGTAACAATGATTAATATTAGGGCATAATCATATTTATCTTTTGCTCATCCTTACTATATATATATATATATATATATCTTTTAGGAATGCGGTTAAAAAGCTACACCAAAGTTAGACCGAGGATAATTTGGGCGTAAAAGCTCCTAATCTCAAAGATTTCGTGAGTCAACTATAGGCAGCAACATGATTGCAACTGTTGCACTCCAAAAGGAATAAACTTGGACATTATTCTAAGAACGAGGGTTTCTACGCTCTAACCGGCGGCCTCACCTTTAATTTCTTGGATAATAGGTTTTTTTTATTTAACTACGGTAGTTCTCATATTTTTGCAGTAATTATGTATATATTATCCTTTGGAAAATTGCACCAAAAATCCTAAACAATTGTCCAATACACAATCAAATTATACACGGTTCAATGTGTACAATCAAGTCCTTTCGACAATCGCTCAGGCAAATTTGCTATGCATTATGCCAAAATCTTACGTGAATTTTTTTTAAATATTTTTTCAGTATATGTGGCGCCGATGTGGCGTCACGATAGAAAAGTCA